CCCACTCGTGGGCCAATCGGCCTGATTCCTGCAGGCGGGAAGAAATAACCGATGCAGCTGAGCTGGGAAACGAAACCAGTCACACGGTTGATTAATATGAAGACACTACAACTAGACAGTGGTACAAGGTTACAGATAACAGGAGAAGCGATTCAGAGGAAGGAATACGGCACCCAGTCGTACGCAGGTGCCCCCTCAGTCCATAAACAATATGGCAGTGTAGCTGACACAGGTTTACATTCCCAGCAAAGCATCAGGAGAGTAGTACCAAGGTCAGACGGCCAGGCGGGGAGATAAGGCCCTGCGAGAAGAAGTTAAAAGTTAACATTCCAGCATAACAGGAAATGCTACATCAGCCACCACACACACACCCCACCAGTCATGGCAGCATAGCTGACAGCAGGGTGGGACATTCAGATTTATAAAGCTGCAAATATTATCATGCTACTAGGGGGCTAGCTCAGTACCTGAAGGGAACTAAGAATTTTGGTGGGGTGGGAAAATCTGCCTCAGAGGGGGAAGAGTAACAGTGGGTCTGTCATAGTATAACTGTGAACATTTTCTTTTTAATAAATACTTTATAACTTTTGGTGCTGGTAGACCTCCACCATCTTAGACATGCCAGGGGGAAGGCGGGCAATTGGGAAGTGGCAATTCCTCCAAGAATGCACAAGGCAGTAAACAGTCCCTGTGGTGACCAGGGCATCGGGAGACACAGAGGCAAGGCCTCAGAACTTGGAGGGGAAGCTGGGAGTCCTGACTCTCCCAGCAGGCAATTCCTACAGGGGCAAGTGGTGGCGGCAGATTACTGGAAAGAGAGAAAAAGTCTCCAGTTGTTGGGAAAACCTTGGAAGGCAGGGTGGATCAGGGCCTGTAGGCCAAAGCAGGCCTGTTCTGCCACACATATATTGGAGGAAAAGGCTCTGGCCCACAGAAGCTTCTGGTTCAAGACATCTGTCCATGTTCAGGGGGTGGGGTGGGAGTGTTCATTCATTCTGGTCAGTCTCTGCTGGGTCATGCCATCCCGTAGTGATTTTACCATTCAAGTTTTTCCAAGGCAGCCTTGGAGGTCAATGCAAAATAGCCAGGAATCTAGCAGCCCCTTAAAGCCTAGCACAGTTGGAGGTTTGCCATATCATCCCCACAAGCCTTAATGCTGGGACCCCCCCCCCCCCCCCGGGTGTTGGCGGCCATCAGAAGCCCAGGGGAAGTGTCAGAGTGTACCTTCAGTATCTTGAACCAGCCCTGCATCTCTGCATGTACTCACTGTTCTTAACCAGTCATAACAGGGACTTGGGCAGAGACACAGGTGTACCCTTTGAGAGAGACTAAGTGGCACTGTGAAAGGAACCCTGTGATGACATTTACTATACATATTTTATATGCAGTTTTTCTCCTCAATGGGCGCCCCCAAAGTGACTTACAACATAATTTCCCCCTCCATTATTTTATCATCACTACAACAGTCCTGTGAGGTATCTTAAGGTCACCCAGTAACCTTCCCTGGCAGAATGGGTGGCACATATCTGAGCCAGGCACTCTAACCACCAGTGAAGTGTGCTTTAACTGACTGATCTGGAAAATTGGGACCGGGCCAAATTTGTCACCTTGAGGCTGGAGCCCTCCCTTCCCTTTCACTTTCCTCTCTCCAGAAGGGCTGAAATCAATCTCAGATGGGCGCAGGTTAGCTGGTCCAGCCGATCCCACAGCCTAAAGCTCCCAGCAGGTGGAGAAGCTAAAATTAGGCCGGTCTCAGCCGGGAACTCTCATCTACTTTCAGCAGGCGGCAGCTCAGCCACCTCAGCCCAAGCGTGATGTCAAGAGGAGGTAAAGTGGGGGTGTTTGCTGCGCCGCCGCCGCCGATTGGCTCCAAGGCATCGGATGCCGCGTGCTCCAATTTGGGACGCGCCGCCCCTTCCCCCTCAAAAGAGGAACCACCGTCTCCCGCCTCCACCATGCGTTCCACTGGAGAGGGTGTGTCCCTCGTAGGAAACGGGGGCGGGGTCTGGGCAGGCGGCGTGGAATGAAACTTGATCAGCCGCGGCGGAGCCGAGCGGTTAATTCATTCTTGTGGCAGTGCGCCGTTCTCCTTACAGCAAGAGTTCGCCAGCGGCTTCTTACGTGCTTTCTCTTCTAAAGCTTTTTTTCTTTCTGCCACAAAGGGGGAGCGCCCCCGAGAGAGAAAAGGAGCAATTCCGCAGGAAAAACAACAAGGAGTGGTACTGTTTTTTTCACTTTTTCCAATGGCCAAAGGAGAAGGCGCAGAAAGTGTTTCATCGGCTGGACTCTTACAGCAAAGTATTCTAAAGCAAGAGGAGTTAATGCGTCCTAAGGGAGGAGGCGGAGAAGGAGGAGGAGGAGGGGGGGAGTGGGATATGTTTCTCCGAGATGTGTGGGACAGGCGTGAGAAGTTCTCTGGGGGGATGCAAGCTACAAGCTCCCCTGGGCGTTCTAGGCGAGTTTCCCATAGAGGAGACTAGGGCTTGCTTCCGAGGAGGCACGAGTGGTAAGCAGCACGTGCAGGGATCTGGATGGGTCGGCTGCAGTTCTGAAATGAAGGCAGAGAGAGAATGGAAAAAGCGTTCCAGGTCTAGGATCGGGACGAAAAGGATTTTCTTTTCAAGCATGGGGTGTGAAGTGGAATGCGACGCCCGCGTCTTTTCCGCCCTCTTTCTTTCCCTCCCCCTGCTGCGGATCGTGGCATCTACGCGAGCTTCGAATCTATCCTGGGGAGCGGGAGAAAAAAAGGCGCTTTCCTTATAAGGCCTCGCTTCATGGTAGGGGAAGTGGGTGGGACTTCTCTGGTGGGACTTGTCTCTCGGGTTGTCGGGTCGGAACCAAGTTGGCACCCGTTGGTATCTCTTTCCCCGGGCGGTGGCAGGAGTGCACCTCCTCGGGCTCAACGTGCAAGGGCGAGAAGCGGGAGCCCGGTTGGTTTTCTCCCGCGTGCCTGCCACCCGCACGCATAGCCGAAGGTCGCCAGGGAGAGGCGGCCGCGCGTCCCCGCCTTCCTCGGGGGCTCCAACGGCCGCTGAAGTTCATTCATAGAGGCCAAGGGAAAAAACTTCTCTTAAAGGGGCCGCGCCTTTCTTCCGGTCTTAAGCGGGGAGTGGCGGAGTCCTTTCGCGGAAAGAAGAATGAGCAAGCCCAATTAAAAACAGAACAAGTTTAGAGTCCACTGGCACCTTTAAGGCCAACAAAGTTTTATTCAAGGCATGAGCTTTCGTGTGCCATGCACACTCTGCTCTAAATTTGTTCTACTGCTTCAGACCAACACGGCTGACCACCTGGATCGATCTCAAATTAAAAATAGCTCTTTAAGGAATTCGACCAGACTCTTCAGAAAACGCCGCGGAGTCAGTTCGGTTTATAAAGCATTCTTAGGGACGTGTATTCAAAGAGATCTATCGGTCTGCGTGTTTCTCTTGTGCGTATTTATTTGGGAATAAGTCCCACGGTATTCGATGGGGCTTTACTCCAAACAAATGTGCATAGGATCGTAACCTTAACAGAATCTGTTTCTGTGTATTCTGGCTAGTGTGTGTGTGAATGGGTGGTGGCTCAAGATCGAGGAAACTTTCAGGAGAGCTTTATATGAGATGCTAACCCAGAGGCGTATTATAGAATTAATATGGGGAAGTAACAGTGGTAATGGCTAACCTTGAGTGTTGTCCTGCAGTTGTAAACCCGGAGATAAATCCCACTGAGTTCAGTTAGCCTGACTTCCCAAGGAAGTGTAGTTAGCCTTGGTTTCCCTAATCTATAAAATTGGGAGCACAAGTGTAATCCACCTTGCAGGTTGTTGTGAGAAGGAGGAAGTAAGGGCATTTGGAATTGTGAAAGTGTGCTGAAGTGTATGGTGGTGGTCAGAGATGCTTTTGGCAGAGAAGGCGAAACAAGAGCATCACAGAACATTTTAAACGGAGCTGGTGCTCAGGCCCACCTGATCTTGGAAGTTAAGTAGGGTGGGCTTTGGTTAGTTCTTAGATGGGAGGCCACCGAGGAAATTCTGGATGGGCAAAACACCTCGAAAACCCCATAAATTGGCTGTGACTCTCCACCACCAGTGTTTCTGTGTCGGGGGTGCCATTTCAGTTATGGTGGTGCCAGCTTCTTAGCCAGGCTTCAAGACCTCTGTGTCCTCAAAGCTAAATAGGTAGTTATAAAACAGTTGCAGAGGATCTTGAGGTATATTGCTTAAAAAAATTATCAACAGGGCAGAGTCACTCTTTGCTGGTTCATCCGAGGCATGTGTGTCCTTCATACGCATGCTGGGGGGTCATTGGACCCATTTCATCTTCTACGTCAGTCATGCACAGAACCAGAGTACTGCTTCTTAGGAGCAGTCACGTGAGATCTGAAATGGGTGATGGTGGGGGTGACCAGTACCCTCCACATAAGCAGCTGCTCTGGCTGACTTCTGCAAGTGATGCCATCAGATTGGTCTTGCGACTTCCCTTCTTCATGTCAACCCTTCACAACAGAAGGGAAAACAAGGCTCAGGTGCCTGTGGAATCTGTGTCAGGAATGGTGTATCTTGCCAGGCCGCAAATCCTCCCACACATAACAGCACTACTATGGTTGGCTTACGTGTCCTGTTTAGCCCCTCCCTTTCCTCTCTGAATCGCCAGCTCCTGAGCAAAGCTGCCTGGCTCTTGTCCCCACAGAGGTAGCTGTGCTCTTTAACTGGAAGCTGCTTAATTTTATGTCGCTAATTTTGAATCTCTCCGCTTGTTCCTGCCTGTCTCTGATTGTGGTGCACAGAAGTTTGTATCTCTAAACTTAACCATCATCGGTGTGGTGTTGCTCTTTCTGGACTGCGGATATGTTTCTTTACTACCGACTTGCTATAGATTCAGAGGCTTCACAGCCAGCCATGTGGATCTTACACTGAATTCCTGGCAGAAGCACACAGTTGATGTAGTGCAGTGGCAAAGAGTGTGGAGCCAGGACATTTCCTCCTTCCCCATCCCTTCTAGTTCAAATTTATACTTCCTTGCTGGAACAAAGTTTGAGTCCAGTGGCATCTTTAAGACCAACAAAGTTTTATTTGAGGTATAAGCTTTTGTGTGCACGGACACGTCTTCAGATACAATGAAATGGAAATTTATCAGTCCATACAGATAAGTAGAGGGTGAGCAGTAAATTTGCATACAGCATCATGAAGCTGTTTAACAGATTCAAGACCAAACAGGAATAACAAGCTTAGTTTATATTTGTTTGGGTTTAATTTGGCTGATGACACCCAGCTCTATTTGTTGGTGGATGGCCGGCTGGACTCCGCCCCAGATATTTTGGACAGGGCATCTGGGGCTGGGGCTGAATGGTTGCAGCAGAGCCAGCGGAAGTTGAATCCAATGAAGGACTGAGGTCCTGTACATGAGTTATGGGGGGCTAGGACTGAGAATCAGGCTCTTGGTCTTCGGTGGGGCACCACTGGTGCCAGCGCTGAGGGTAAGGAGTCTTGGGGTGATGCTGGATTCTTCACTTACTATGGAGGCCCAGGTCACTTCAGTTGCCAGATCGGCTGGTTCCCTATCTTGGGACTTGGCTACAGTCATCTATGCAATGTCACTTCCAGGCTGGACTACTGTAACTTGCTCTATGCAGGGCTACCCTTGAGCCTGATCTGGAAATTGCAGCTAGTGCAGAATGTGGCAACACGCCTGCTGACAGCGATGCCTGTGCAGGCGGACATTCAGCTGGTGTTGCGCCATCTGCACTGGCTGCCAATAAATACCAGATCCGGTTCAAGGTCATGGTTTTGACCTTTAAAGCCCTGTGTGGCCTGGGACCATCATACCTGTGGGACCGCCTCTCCCCATGTTAGCCCCAAAGAATTTTCTGCTCCTCTGACCAACACCACCTGGTGGTCCTCGGCCCAAAGGACATCCACTTAACCTCGACCAGGGCGAGGGCTTTTTCAGCCCTCGCCCTGGTGGAACATGCTCTTATTTGAGATCAGGGCCCTGCAGGACTTATTACAGTTCCGCAGGGCCTGTGAAACGGAGCTGTTCCACCAGGCCTTCGGTTGAGGTGGTGGATGTTCGATCATTCTGTCCTCCCCTGTCCATGGCTCCTTTCCCAGTGCCCTCACTGTTCTGGATATTACTTGGGCACTGGAATTTCCTGGGGTAACTATTCCTGCCATAACACGAGGCATGGGTCTTTGTCATCATCTCTTGCTGCCATCTATTGTTTTGTTGTTTCATGGCTTTATGTTGTAAGCCAGTCGGAGCCCATTTTGGGGGGTAGGATGGGGTACAAATTAAACAATAAATTCTGGGGGGTAACATAGAAAAGGAATAAATATGCCAAAATATAATGAAATAAATAAAATTGGAGGTTGATGGGCAGATGTATCCTTAATTTTGGAATGTTGAGAGTAATTAGCTGAGACCCTGCCGTTACTCTCCATCCCTCTCCTTTCAAGCATGGAGGTGACCTTACAGCATCATCTTCTTTGAAGTGGGGCGATTGGCTGTGTAGAGTTATCTCCTTTGTCTCCAGACCAGAGATACACTCCAGTCTACCATTCCAACTTACATTATTCATTATGTTACTACAATCTACTATACTAACGTACTATTCCAAATAAGAAATAAGGATGACATATGGCCCTTTTGGGGGATTGGTGAGAATACAAATGTAAGGTCTCAGTGAGGTTAGCATATGTAGTGAGATAAGAAACCAGTATCCATATTAAGTCCTGGGGATTCCGTTGTTCTGAGTGTAATAGTAACTTGCAACTCAGTACTTTCCCTTTCTAGTTCCTTTGCAGTAAAACAGTTACTTTGAGGTCACCTATTGAATGTCTTAGAAGGATGAAGCATTTTCCTACAGGTTTCTCAGTCTTGTGATTCTTGATGTCTGATTTGTTGTCATGCATGACTCTGCGTACTTCCATTCTGGGTTGACTAAGTGGTATTTGGTAAGCCACTATTTTTGAACCTCTGCCCTCTCTTCCATCTGCAATATGGGGCTCATGGTGACCTACCTTACAGGGCTGTTGCTGATGAATATGAATTTTGGGTATTAAGGGAAGACCTAACCACTTGATCGCACGTGATCTTTATGGTAAAAAGAATTACTTGCTTCAGAGAAATCATGTGTTTACTATACATTATAGTGTTTACTATAATGATATATGTACTGAAGTAGACAGTTAATCTTTGCAGGGTCATGCGTAACTACAAATGCTCTAAGGTTAGGAGCCAGACTGATTCAGTTCTTGTGAATGTTTCATCTGCTGTTTAGAGAGACCACAGAGCATGTACCAAAGTTTGTCTGACCACAGACTGAAGGATAGCACAGATGATGTCTTGTGTTCATTTGGCACTTGGAAGTTGATGGGAAAGCAAGATGGCAGTGGTGCAAACCTGACAACTGTATTGACTGTGTTTGAGTTTTATTGAGAATGATGGATCAGACAACTATGTTCATTTTTTTTCTTTTTAAAAAGCAATGATATTTACCAGGAACTGATCAGGTGAGAATTCTTACCAGGATGGAATTTTTAGAATACTTCATGCATAATACCTGTGTTTGTTTTTTCCTGTTGCTAAAGCTGCAGTGTTTGCATGCTCTGGGTGCGTTCAGACGTGCCGTTTAACTGCTTTCGGCACGCTTCAGTAACGGATTTTATGTGCACGTTCACACACCCAACATCTGCACACCGTCCCCAGCCGTGGCTTTCTGGATTAAACCCCCTTTAAACCAGAGTATTTTGATACCAGTTACCAAGTGGTGTTTTCCTGATTCTCCAGTTTTGAGCTGCAGTTTCCGGCGTCTGATTGCTCCTGTGGTGTTGAGCCACTTCCGGGTGCCTCAACCCCCCCTCCCCTCTGGAAAGCTGCCGTGGAAGCCCAAGGCTTTCGCTTTTTGTCCGCCTTTTTTTTTTTGCCTCAGTGGTATGCGCATGGGCGGAGCTCCGCTCCTAAGTTATTAAAAGCAAAGTTTAAATGGTGCTTAGTTTTAGTGCTTAGATGAGTTCGGGATCTCACGGAGGCCAGTTTCGGTGTAAAAATTTGAAGGGAAGTGTTCATTTAAAGTTTAAAGCAAAGTGTGAAAATCGCTGTTCTGCGCACATGCGAAAATTTTAGTTCAACAGATGACCTCCTGTGCGCATGCTCAATCTGAAAGGAAAAAAAAACCCCGAGGCACGCTCCCGCGTGTGAACAGCGGGAAGCGATGTGGCTGCGCAGCGATCCGGAACAAGGAAGTTGGGTGTGATTGCGATTCTCCGGGTTTAAAAAAACTGAATCGGGACTGGAGCAATTTAAACCGCTCCCAGCACGCTGTCTGTGTTGCTTTTCTTATTGAGTGGGGAAGCCTGAATGAATGAACCGCATTTGTACAAGATTCTCAATAGTAGCATACTGCTGCTTATAGGCCAGGGTGGGCAAGAGTTTCGGCCTGAGGGCCGCGTTTGGGAGGTCTGTTTGTGTTTGGGGACCCTAAAGAGACCCTGTCCTCTTTGGCTGCTCTTAGTAGCTCTTCAGTTATCCAGCCATTTTTCTTGAGAATTGGGCTGTTAACCGATCCTGGAATACACTGGGCTGATGCTGTGGAGATGTTGTTAAGCAGGCTGAAGGCAGGATGAAAAGATTGGGCTGGGTGCAGATGTAGCCCCAGGCTATCATTCCAGCAGACCTCTAGAAAGGCAGGAGCTGATCTCGAACCCTCTCCATTAATTCCATCTTAAGTTCCATCTGCAGTTGTCCACACAGGCTTGACACTTTCTCTGCTTCTAAAGGAACTGCAGTTTACTTAGAAAAGTTGAAGTCTGAGACTTTGTATGTTGAATATTCCATGCTGTCATTTCAGTTTACTTTAATTTTAAAAAGATGAGTTATGCATACAGTTAAATGTCTTGAAGAAATGCTTGAGAAAATGCTTGGGTTCCCCCCCCCCCCGCTAAACTGTAATTCTGTACCCAGCTGTGAATCTGGAATCTCTGTGTAGTTTTTGGGGAATCAAATGTTTTGTTTTTGCATGTAGTAGAATTTCCTTGCAAGCTGTACGATAAATAATCACATACTCTAAACTCTGAATTCAGAACTGCTCTTAAAATGCAGCTGATAGAATGGAGCTGAATCCCGTGCTCCCATACTGTGTCTTGAGGTGCATTGCAGTCCTGTGAAAGAGTGGTTAGTGGGCTGTGTGAGAGGGCATCTCTCTGGGAACAGGCAACTGCTGTTTCTCTGCATCAGATGATTGGCTCAGTGCATCACGTCTGATGCAGTGTCACACCAAAACTATGTAAATAGAGGAGATATACCGTGTGAGTCATTGCTCAGGGCAGGCTTCCTTCCTACCAGGAGGCCTGTCAAGATCTACAACTCATTCAGTAATGTGGGAGCTTGAAGGCTGCTATGAGAAAATGTGCTGGTGGCTTCCGGTCCACAAAAGCTAATGCTAGACTAAAAAAAAAAATTGAGTACTTTAAAGACTGCTGTTTACTCTTACATTCACAGAGTACACATTTTGGGACCCGGTTTCCCCTTTTGGGAGACTGAAGTGTGCCTTGAGCTTTAATTTAGGGTGTTTGTGTGCAAATTTGTTTATTGTGAGACCTCAGATGTGTACTGCTTCATAATAAGACTCCCAATAGGCTGTGTTGAGGCTGCAGAAACTTTATAGATAATTAATCAGCATGTCAGTTTTTAGTCCTTCAAGCTGTATATTTTCAGTTATGCAGACGGGCTTTCTTATAAAGGACTTTGACTTCCTGCTTTGGATTGTAATTGTTGTCTGGCTCTTGGAAAGTTATAAAAGGTTGATGAACCCTGTTCCAGACTTTCTTTCTGTTGGTTTCCCAAATAGGTGTGAAATAAATGGTTGAGGTCGTGGAAGGGCTGGGTTTGGCTGGCTGAATAGTATAAGAACTAGAGTTCAGAATAGTTTAGTGGTGGTGTCATTGGCCGCACACACAGCTTCTGAACCAGGCAGTTGCTCTTCCTTGGCACAATGCCTTGCCTGTCTGAGGCTAATCGCCCTCAAACAATGGAAGAAACAGACCTCTCCTAGTAAAGATGAGCTGGGAGCTATGCAGCAGTTAGTGACCTAAAGCAAGCCTCTCTCCCGCTGACACAGGCTGATGTTGTTGAAGCTCCTTGGAGGGCATCCAAGGAACATCTGGGCATTGCTCTTATCTCGTTTTAAAAAAAGAGAACTTGCAAGGATTTTTGGCTGCCATGTTGGTCCCACCAAAAGACATCCTTGAAGTAGAATAAGTTGTACAGCCCTGCAGTGTCCAAAAATGAGAAGAAAATCCATATAATGTGTTTTATTAGGACCATCCAAATTGATGTGCAGCCTTGTGCAAGTTTTCGAGCTTACCAGAGCTCTTCATGAGGCTGGCTCTGGAGTGTTTTAGGTGCCTTTCTACTGACCTAAATGGCTCATAGGTCAGGGCTACAAGCTGTTATGTTTAGTTACCTTGAGGTGACTTAGTTGCACCAAGCTGAATGCCACCCTGCCATGCTCTTGGCAAAACAAAGATCCTGTGGCACCTTAAAAACTAACAACATAAGATGCCACTGGATTTCCGTTCTGTTTTGCTACAACAGATTGACGCAGCTACCCCTTTGCAGTATCCTTGACAATACTCCTGTTCCTGCATTCCCTGTGGAAATTTGTAGCAATACATGATTGAATTTGGCTTGTTGGGGTGTAAGTTGCTGGAACTGACCTTTGTTAACTTTTAGGTCTTGCAGTGAGGGTGGCTTTCTCTCTGTCTTGTAGTACCTGTTTATGAGCTGAAATAGAAAGTAGCTACGGAACTGGGAAGTGGTGGCCAGTGTTCCTTCTAAGCTGAGTTAGTGTGAGCTAGCTCAGTTTTTTAGCCTCTGGCTCACACATTTTTGTCTTAGCTCAGGAAGGATGGCTCCAGAGCAGACTAATTTATGCAGTAGCCAAATCACTCACTCACAGCTTTAATGCCAGTAGCTCGCAAAGTAGAATTCTTGCTCACAAGACTCCACAGCTTAGAGGGAACATTGGTGGTGGCTATTCCATGTTTTCTTCTTATATAATAATTTCTGCATTGTTTAACATGTCATGTCTAATACTTCCAGGTTTCTGTAATCCTAGTCCTATTACATTGCTTATTAGCTGTCTAATCCTAATTGAGTGCATTGGTGTGCGTCTCAGTGAGAAAGGTGGACCTGATCACCTTCACGTCTTTATAAGATATATTGTATTAAATGTGTTCAAGTTTATCTCTCCTTCTGTAATCAATTGTACTGTTCAGTAAAAGAATAAAGATAAATTAAAAAGAAAGAAAGGTGGACTATAAATAAACAAATAAAGCATGTCCTTAAATCCAGTGCATTCCAGTAATTCAAGAATGCTTGGCACGTCACGTGTCCTGGGTTCAGCCCATCCATTTCCTATTTACAAGGTGGTGGGCCTGGGAATGTCCCCATCCTTGATTCTGCTTTCTCTCAGAGTAGAATATCTAGTGGCCTTATTCATATGCATATTATGATTTTATTTAATGATGCATGGGGAAGGTGAAATTAAATCCATTTTACTTCATGGTTTTAAAATGTCCGTCTTTAATAACAATGAAATAGGTGTGAGAACTTAGTTATCCCCTTCCCTCAGTCATTATTTCTAGCGATGCAGGTGGGAGGGTGGAGCTAAAGATGGAAGTGATGTTTTGTGGGGTTTTAGCTGCCGTTCACAACATGCTGCTCATATGCCTTAGGGAAAACTTGATTGTTGGTGATCAGTAGCACTGAATTATTTTGTACCTTTTATCCCCCCCCCCTTTCCATTTTTCCAGAGAGAGAGCAAAGGAAAACTATCAATATGCAGTAAACTGTGTTATGCCATCGGTGGAGCCCCTTACCAGATCACAGGCTGTGCCTTGGGCTTTTTCCTGCAGATCTACTTGCTTGATGTGGCACAAGTAAGTCCTGCTGCTCAGATGCACTTTTGTTGAGGGGGAAATTGGGGGCAGCTCAAACATGCATATATGAATGGTTACTGCAGTCAGCTCAGGGGCACCCAGCTACTGACTTGAACAGGTTGGCATTGAATGCAGTTCTTCAAAAATGCGAATGTGAACTCTTGCCCCCCTTCTAAACATGGACCCGATTCTTATAAACATCCGATGACTAAATACTCTTTGAAAAAGAAATCTGTATGTGTGTGAGATACACACACACACACACACACACACACACTCTGAGGGGCATTCAGACATGTGAGTCTGTGCAGTCAGCGGTCTGAAACCACACAGAGAAGCAGGAGGCTTGCTTCCTTGTATTCGGTTTGTGAGAATCAGTGCAAACGAGTCCCCCAGCCCCACTGACCATCTGATCAGCAAGTGAGCCTAGAGAATCCTATATGCTGCTTCTTAGATGTGACCCAGGTGAGTCCTGTTGTATGTATTGGAGTACTATTGGACATCCAGTTCTGATTCTACTGTTGGATGAATGCTAAAAGCCACAAATCTTTGAATGTAAAGCAGTGTACTTCTCCTGAGTCCAGCTAGCCGCTCAGTTCTGCCAGTTATGGGAATGGCAGAGAACCAGTTCAGATGCTAGTAGGTCTCCGAGCCTCTGTGGTAGAAAGGATTCTGTCACTTGTTTTTTGTCCCTCCCCCCCCTTCACTCCATGCAGAAGCACCTCTGCTTTCAGGGCTGAAATAACTGATTCTATATCCTGTGGACCAGGATATTCACTTAACGCTTAGGATATTCACTTAATGTTTAGTATGAGTCAAGCAAATGTCACATGGCGAGGCTCAGAACACCTTGCTGTCTTGAGATGGCACACTATGTACCTTTTTTTTTTTTGCATTTTGCGTATGTCTGTGTGTGCGCCCTTGCCTGGATGCCATGGTGACCTCTGGCAGCTCCTACTGGGGCATGGAGGACGTTCAGAGAAGTGGCTTGATAGCCAGTCTCTGCTTCCCAGCCCTGGTATTCCTTGGAGGTCTCCCATCCAAATACCTGCCAGGGCCGGCCCTGCTTAGCTTCCGAGATACGAGGAGACTGGGCTTGCCTGGGCTGTCCAGGACAGGGCCACTGTGTACTTTTGAGCTCAGTGTCTCGGCTGTCATTTTTCTCCTGGTGGAGAGTTCCTGCTGTGCTGGCAAGGGGTGGGCAGATTGGCAGTTGCCTGCAGGTCCTTTGGAGCAGTCCTGTGCCACTTGTGACCTTCCAAGCCAAACTTGGATTGTGCCCAGCTTCTGCTAGTACAGGAATGTGAAAAAGAGGCGGGCGGGGGAATATTGCTGTCTGCTTGGCAAAACATCATACCCAGCTGCTACACTTGCAGGTTTGGAAGGCAGGAGCAGCTGAGAAGAACTCTGTGGAGGGCTGCGGCTTGGCAGGGGAGCGTCTGCTTTGCATGCAAAAAGGTTCCCGGTTCAATCCCTAGCATTTCAAGTTACAGGATGTCTGAGAGGGCATTGAGAGAAAAACCTTTCTTTGTTTGAGAGCCACTGCCAGTCAGAGTAGGCAGTACTGAGCATGACAGACCCATGGCCCAAAAGGTTCTGGTGGTCACCTTAGGAGCTCTGAACGTGCAATCAATGTGGCTTTCTTTGTTCATGTTGAGGAGGGCTCTGTGCCTCTGGCCCAAGTGGCTGACGGTGTCATTTTTCTTAATAGCTGGACCCTTTCTATGCCTCCATCATCCTCTTTGTGGGTCGCGCATGGGATGCCGTCACGGATCCGTTGGTCGGCTTCTTCATCAGTAAAACCTCATGGAGTCGCTTTGGACGCCTGATGCCCTGGTAAGGAAGGCTTGCTGGAGATGGTGGCGAAATCCCTGTGAGGGTGAGAGTGGCGAGAGGGCTCCTGTCTTGCTAGGAATCCTTTGTGAATGCAATCAGTTCCTGTGTGCACTGCCTCTAGACATGCCTTGCACTGCTCTGTGGGGTCCTCGTCTGTGATGTCCAGTGTCCAAAGTCCAGAGGCAAGTTCTGCTTGGTCTGAAATTGTGTCCCTGAATACAGAATTTTTAAAAAGTCTCTAGTACAGAAAGAATGGAAAACAGTGTGTGCTGGGGGAACGCGAGCCTTTGAGAATCGATTCTGTTTCTATCTTCTCAGCTCCATCTTGGGTCCTGCTCTTGTTCATGCTACAATACAATAGGATGTTGGGAACTGCCTTTGATTTAGTGACTAGAGTGCTGGACTACGATCTAGGAAATGACATTTCTTGTAATTTTGAGTCTTGATCAAGCCCACTGTTTGAACTAGTGCAGATCGATCTGTCCACAGAAATGGGATCCCCCCCCCAATCATCCTGTATTGGGTGTTGGAGGGTGTGCTGAGGTAACCACCTGATCTGTACCTGCAGCAGAGAGATCCTGCCCTTGAGGAGCCTGTTACCAAGGGGCAGTCAAAGCTTCTCTTCTGCCCTGACAATCTGTTTATATGAGATCATTGGATCCTCCTCTGCTTCTGGACTGTGCTGAAGAGATTGGATGAAGGGGAACAATCTGAAAGTTTCATGACCTCTAGAAGCATAGGGATTGGAACCAGCAACAGTTGTTGGCTGGCAGTGTTTTTGGAAATCCAGATGGGAAGCAGCATTGGTGTGCAACAGCAAAATAAAATGGGAGTCCTATGACACTTCAAAGCCAAACACGTTTTTCTTTGCAGCAAAAGGTTTCATGAGTTGGAGGACATGGGCAGCCTGCTGGAAACAAAGTTTGTCACTCTTTAAGGTGCCTCTGGACTCCTGTTTTATGTTTAGCAGTTCACAGTTGTAATTTAACCATGATTAAAAGCATCCAGACATTTTTGGACTGTTTGCTGGCAAGGGGCTATATTCAGTATAATATTCAATTTTTTTTTTGTCCGTTTGACATGGATCTATTGTTAGTAGAACAAGAGTTTTGTTTGCGATCTCCACCCTGGCCCTGCCTAAAAGGCTCCGAAGACGTGAGCCTGGACTCTGTGGGAGGTGTGCAGAAATAATTATGACGTCATCCAGTTTGACCTGCAACCAGTTCATAGCGAGAACTTTTGCAAGCAGAGTTATTGCAGAGCAAAGTGATTTGCCTGGTTATTATTCTGCAAATCCTGGCTGTTTATCAAATGTGCTCTGACGTTCTAACTACCCAAATAACATTTGCCTAGTGATGGCAGTTTACTCAGGAAAAAAGGCACTGTAAAGTCTTAAAGCCGTCTGCATTGTTGAGTTTATGAAAGCAGGCTGATCAAATGGATGTATGTGAAAGAATTTGCAAAGCATTACAGACATGGAGCAGCCTTCTGTCAGGGAGAGGTTCAAGTCTCAAGAGGTCATGCCCTTACAAACCTGGGTCTGCTTTTGTCTCTCTGCTTTTGGCCTTCTTCCCTATGCAGGTTTCTCCTTGCTGAAGAATTAGCTTGAATACTATTGGTAGTTTGGATTTTTAACCCACCTTTCCCCTAAAAAAGGACTCAAGGCAGCTCAAAGTTCATAATTTAAAATGCATCTCCAAATAGATCAATTAGTATCCATACAGCAAATGAACATGGATTCAAGCAGCCATAGCTCAGTTGTTATGTGCAATAATAGCAGAGAATCGTCCTTAAAAGACTGCTTTCTCACCAGTACCAATCTTCTCCAGTGTGTTGTTGCTGGCAGCGTTCAGGGTTTGTATTTTAACCTACAGACTCTATTAGTCACAGACAGACCATGAAAGGCAAGTGGTTGACATACATGCAATTCATATGTGCTGTAGAACATGCACCCAATTCCGTTGTAACATGCAGGGCTTCTGTGGCAGATAATCTAGAGTGTATACAACATAAAATCAACAAACAGTAAAACAATAAATAGCAATAGAATTCTAACATTCAGATGGGCACATCTTGCGGAGTGGGGGGGTAGTTGTGTTATGGGAAGTTTTCGTGCATTGGACATGTGGTGTTTAATGAGGAGCTAGGCATTATGTGTTTTTAAGATTGTTATTCCAATTGTTGTTATTGTTACCTCATTGTTTCACTTAATAAAAACTGTTATTGGGAAACAAAGAAAAAAAAAGAAATCAAGGTGAA